TGAATAATTTCGAAGTGAAATTAGTCCCATTGTCTGTCACGAGAACTTTTGGTATATTAAATTTTGAAACTATTTCGTTAAAGAATTTCCTTGCTACTGTCGTAGCTTCCCCATCCTGTAATGCTGTACATACCAAATACTTAGAAAAATCATCCTGAAATGTTAAAATTAGTTTATTCCCATTCTCTGTAGTAGGTAGTGGGCCTACAATATCCATAAATACTTTGTCGAATGGTCTTTGAGGGGTATCCGTCAAAACCATTGGCATTTTCTCTACCCTAGAACTCTTGTTTTTCTGGCATTGTTGACATGTTCCGACGTAGTCTTTTATCTGTCTTTGCATGCCTGCCCATTTAAACTGTTTTCGTATTCGGAAATATGTTTTAACAGCTCCTTGATGTCCTCCGATAGGTGAGTCGTGGAATTTCTTTAAAACTTCTTGGATATCCTTTTTATTAGTTAGAAATACCGCGTAATCTTCTTTCGTTTGGTCCTTCGTATCTTCCACTTCTTCTATTTCATTTTGTTCCATTTTATTTTTGTTTTCCTTCAGATTTGTTGCTTTTTTATTTCCTCTCGTAACTACTGCTATTGGTAGTCGACTCAGAGCATCCGCGTTTTTATTGGTTTTTCCTGGTTTGTATAAAATTTCAAAATCGTATTCCAACAATTTCAATCGGAATCTTCCCAAACGTGTGTTTTGGTCTTTAAGATTTGCTATACCTCTTAATGGCTTATGGTCAGTAAATATTTTAAAATGTCTTCCCAATAAGTAAGACCTAAAATTCCTAGTTGCCCAAACTATCGCAAGAAATTCCTTTTCTATAGTTGAATATCTTTTCTCAGTATTACTCAGAGCACGGCTTGCGAAATAAAGTGGTAAATCAGAACCTACTTCTCCCTGAGACAATACTGCACCTAACGCTTCATTACTAGCGTCAGTTGTTAAAACAAAAGGTTTTGAGAAATCTGGATATTGAAGTATAGGAGGCTTCGTTATTGCAGCCTTCAGTCTAATCATTGCTTCTTGGCAACTGTCGTTCCATTCGAACTTTTCTCCTTTCCTTAGTAATTTATTAAGCGGTAAACACACACTCGCTGCTTGTGGGATAAATTTCCATTTTAATAATAATTTTAATAATTCACAAGTCCCAAAAATGATTGCAGTTCCTTAACATTTCGAGGTGCTGGGATAGACTTAACACACTTGGTTTTGTCTGGATCTGGAATTACTCCTTTGTCCGAACATTTATGCCCAAGGTAAACGACTTCTCGTCTTAAAAACTGACATTTCTCCGTTTGTAATTTTAAATTATTTTCTTTTAGTGCTTGTAATACTCTCCTTAACCTTTGGTCGTGTTCATTGAAATTCCTTTCGTAGATAACAATATCGTCGAGATAGACGAAGCAATCTATCCCTTGCAATCCTGTTAAAATACTATTCATAATTCGCTGAAAAGTTGCGGGTGCTCCTGTTAACCCAAATGGCATTCTAAGAAATTCAAAATGTCCTAGACCTGTGCTAAATGCCGTTTTCTCCCTGTCTTTACTGTCTACCATCACCTGGTGATAGCCACTAGCCAAATCCAGCGTTGAGAAATATCTACTGCATCCTAGTTGGTCTAAAATTTCATCAATTCTAGGAATTGGAAACACCTGTTTAATTGTTTTTTCATTTAATTTTCTAAAATCAACCACGAGACGCCATCTTTTCCCCATCTATACCTGACCTTTTTGGTACAAGGATGATAGGAGAGTTCCATGGTGATTTACTCCTTGTTATTATTCCTTCATCTAGCATTTCACTAACTTGCTTATTAATTTCTTCCTTATGTGCTTCTGGTAATCTATATTGTCGTTGATTTACCGGTATTTGATCATGACTTGTTGGAATTTCGTGTGCCAACACTGATGTATAGGACAGTTTATCTCCTGATAAGTGAAATACATCGTTATATTCCTTAATTGTCTGCGTAATTAACCGTCTTTCTTCATTGTTTAAACGCTCATCCAATCTTATTAATTTCAGTAATTTTCCGTACCTTTCCTGTAAGTTTACTTCTTTGTTCAAATTAACATTAGGGACATTGTACTCATAGTACTCATTCATAACACTGCCCTTTAATTCAATTTCACTATTCATTTCAACTGCATAGTTGTTTGCATTCAAAATTCTTACAAAACCTATTCCGTTTTTTACTTCTGTTAAACATTCACCTGAATAGACATTTCTAACTATTTCCTTTTTATGTATTACGAGTGTTCCTTCTTTAGGTACTACTTTTACTGGAATAATCATTGTTGATCTACCTGGGATTGTCATGCTTTCTGCTATACAAATCCGACCATGATCTACAATGCTTACCAGTGGTAAAGTAGCTAATTCCTCTTTATTCTTAAAAAATTTTAAAACCTTTTTAATTGTGTCTGTAGTAGACCGGTTCCACAGTTCATCTCGACCTAGAAGTCCGTCTGCTGGTAACTGGCTACCTACTGGCACTACATGCATTTTGAATTGTAGAGCTGGAAATTTTCGGTGTTCAATATTGACCGTACCCAATGTACTTATATTGCCTCCAAAAGCTCCTGTAAGACCCTTTGTGTCTTTGGTGTTTATATTTTTTAAATTGATTAACGCTTCTGTTTTTATAAGGCTGGTGTCTGCTCCCGAGTCAACTAAAAGTCGAAGTTTATTCCCCACTGCACGTTCGCAAGGTACTTTTACATAGGCATCATCAAACGATTGACTAATGCTACCTTTGGCATTGTAACTCGCTCCTTTTGCCCGTATAACTCCTATTTGTTCAAACACCCACTCTGATTTTTCTTTCCAGTAATCCGATAGTATTGAACAATATGAAATTAGTAATGTAACTATACATGTCCAAATACTGAACATATATTTGTTCACCCTCAACACTATATTATTCAATTTCGGCTTTTTCGAATAACTAATTTTTTCCTCTGAATTTTTAAACGCTATTTGGTTGGTCAACTTTTCTTGCACTTCCTTATGTTTTATCGTGATTATACCATGATTCCTTGAATTAACCGCTTTGGCTCCTAAATTCTTCATCTTATTATTTGTATTCGATCGGTTCTGAACATTGTTGTTGCTGTTACTTTTAGTTATTCGTGCAGGTCCTAAATTAAATTGACATTTACTTTTTGAATTTACGGCAGTCCAGTCTAATGTCTTAGACTGAGCCGGTTGAAGTTTCCCGACGGATTTGGTACTGTTATTCTGCAAGTTTTTGCAAAATGTCCTTCTTTGCCGCACCTAAAACATCTAAGATTTGCACTCAAAGGTCTTCCACTTGGTCTGTTAAAGTTTGGATTACTGTGCTTTAAAGGTACTGAATGATTTTGCCAGTCCCTTTCTTGTCTCACGTTACTGTAGTTATTTTGGTTCCCACGTCCTGTATGTCCCAATTTACAAAATTTATTCTGTTCATGTCCTCTCACTCCACAAAAAGTACAATACAATTTGTTTAGTCTACTGAAACAATCCTTTATATCGTGTCCCGTCTTCTTGCAGAAATTGCAGGCCGATTTTTCTTGTTTTACTGTCTCCATAGGATGTTCTCTACATTTGGGTCCATTTTCATGCCCATATACTCCACAATTTGTACAGTATGGCGTATTTTGTCTTTCTGGGCAGAATGCCCATCCATGTCCGTCTTGTTTACAAAACGTACATTTCATTTCTGTTCGATTCTCTGTGGTGGACATGTTTATATTTGAACGTGATTCACCCAATAATTCTTCGGCTGATTCTGCAATAAAAATTAGTTTCTGGATAGGATCATTCTCTAACCCAATAAACCTATGCTTTAAACTATTGTCTTTTAAACCCTTAATAAAACAACGTACTGTTAGTCGCCTGTATTCTCCTAACTGTGACAGAATTTCACTCTCACCTCCTTGATTTCTTATTAGTTGTTCGGCTTCATGTAGTAACGCCTCCAGTTTACCTCCAAATGAACTCGCCGACTCATTCTGTCTTTGTTTGGTACAAGTTAAATCATTCCTTATGTGTTCCAATGTACTTTTCCTGAGGTATGTACGTTTAATCGCCTCACACAATTCATTTACTGTGTTGAATGGTCTACCCGCGATATTCTCGTAAGCTACACTCACTAATCTTTGTTTTATGCAACTTACGACATACTGTGCTCCCTCTTGCGGTAGTGCTTGTTGTACCAGTTCACAACCCGCAATAAACTTGTGTACTTCACTCCGTAGATCGGGTCCTTCTGCGCCCGTGAAATACGGTACCACCTTGGTTACTATTTCCATGATTGCCGTAATCGATGCCATAACTTTTTTTTCGTTATTGTTTGTTTCCACCATTGTTCTCAGTAACTGTTTTGTTTGTCCGCACTTCGCTAGTTCTTTCTTTAAATCATCAATTTGTGCTGTTAGCTTTTTAATCTCGTTTTCCCTAATGTGATCTGTACCTTCTGAGTCCAAGATTATACTGATGTCCTGTTCCGTTTTTCCCTGGTTTTTTAAAACGTTCTCCAAAATTGCTGTCTGATTTTCCGCGTCTTGCAATAAAGATGTTAGTTCTTCCGTGCGTGAACTTAGTTGCTTACACTTATGTTCCAAACCCTTTTTAGCATCTGACAAATCTTCAATAACGTTCGCCAATTCTTTAGACCTTCCACACTCTCTATATTTTCCTTTATGTATTCAAGTTCTTCAACCCTCGTTAACCTGTTATGTCTAATATGATCTTTTGTTAATTGAACAAATTCCTTATCTGGATTAAGTTCAATTAATTTTTCCCAAGCGTGTACTCTTGCCGATTCTAAATATCTTTTAAATACTCTAAGCTCCTGTTGTAAATTTTCGATTTCCTTTTCCATTTATGAGAAATAAAAACAAAATAATTACGTGACCCCACTCAACCAATAACAATAATTAATTAATCAAAAGAGAAAATACCAAACCATATCTCTGTATTACACTTATTACTTAGAAAAAAAAAACAATGTTTAATTCCACAATTCTCTAAATTCTTGCCTATATTGTCGGGCCCACTCTTTATCTGTTTTTGGTACTGGTCGTTTTATGCAGTTTTTATTGGGTTTTATGCTTATGTTTTCGTAAGATATTCCCTTATCTTTTGTATTGTCTATTTTACTAATAATACGATGTGCTTTCTCAAACAACCATTTATGCGAATCTAGATGGTTTTCTAAATCTTTTTCCTCGAATTGCTTATCGCAAACAAAACAACTTTTCCCCATATTTGAACAAACTTGAAAATTAAGAAATTTCACATAACAACGTAGAACAACAGAACTCAAAAAAACTTACATATAGTAATAAATTTACATACATAAAACTTACATTCAGAAAATTTACATATAAAATTTGATTTTTAAAAAAAATAAAAATATATATTATATCATTACAATATTATTTTGATTTGATTTGTCTTTCTTAAAAAATGAAATGTCTTTCTATTTTAAAAACTTAACTATAAATATTTCTTATTAGTGACTTACAATTTTTTCTCCCATTTTTCTTCTTGTTGCCAATTATGTTGTGTTCAATTAATTAATTAATTATGTTGTGTTGTATAGTTGTAATGCTGTAAACTCCCACGTAGGTAGGTGACGTTGTCGTCTCACGTTGCACGTTTTATATTGTATGTTTATAAAAACGTGTGTATACCGGCTGCGCCAATTATGTTGTGTATTTTTGTGGAAAACCCCGAGTGTGCCAAAATGTTGAATTCTTTATTTCAAGTTTTGGACGAAATGTTTCAGTTGCACTTGTTTATAGCTAATTTTTAAAAAGGTCCTTAGCTATTATGAAAACACTTGAGTTTAATTTCACAATTTAATTTTATTAATTTTATTTATGTTATAATTTATATTCTTTGGATTTCTTTTAAATTCAGTCACACACGACTTATTTGTTTAACATTTGTTGTCAGCGCTACTACGCTTGATCATTTTTTATATTTGGCTAAGTGTACAGTATATAAATTTTAACCACTACTTCGTTTAACCACTGTTTTTTATAATTTTCTATTTCTACACAACTTTCAACTCCCGTCTTTGACTCCTCTTTGACTCTTAATTTTTACTCCAACTTAGACTCTAACTTAGACTCTAACTTAGACTCTAACTTCCACTTCAACTACAACTCCAACTGCAACTTAACTACAATTACAACTCCTCTTTTGTGGTTTTAAATCTATCTTATATACCCAAACTTGATGCAAAAATCCAATATATGACCTTCAAATTACCCTAATTGGGTTTTTTTCATAGTTTCATAATTTACTTTGCTAAATTTGCAAAGTTTTTATTATTAATAAGAATGCTCTACATATTTTTGCAATTCTTCCGTATTTACAATTTCAAAGTCACTTACATCGTGACACCAATTATTAACCAAATACCAAAACTCAGCATTTCTTATCGTCGAACTGACGGTCTGCTGCTTTGGTTCTAGTCAACAACTGCCCAGATGCAAATAACCTTGCCTATTTTTAGGGAAAATGTACGATCACCTAAGATCGTACACACTACCATACAGAAAAATTGCCAAAACCCGTGAAATTAAATAAAATAAATATTTAACTCACAACATTCCTTCCCCCTATGAAGAACATTGTGGCACACAATGTTATATATCTAACGGTCTATATTAAACTTGCATCAAATTAGGTTTACATTTTAAATTTTCAAATTTTAAAATCTTAAATCTTTAATACATTTTAATTTTTTCATAAAATTATTCTTATATGTATTATAAAAAAATAACAATTTGTATACGTCAAAAATATTTCCATACATCTTTACTCTTTATAAACTACTTATTAGTTAAAAACTTGTTCTTTAAGAAATGTTTACTCTTGAAATTTGTAAATTTCTTTATTATGATTCTTATTATAAACTACTTATTAGTCAAAAAGTTTATTCTTATTAAAATATTTTAAGAAATGTTTACTCTTGATAATTGAAATTTGTAAATTTCTTTATTATTGTGCTCTGTTGTTTATTATGATTGTTATTATAAACTACTTATTAGTCAAAAATTTATTTAGATTATAATAAATAATGAAAATGTTGAGTCAAACAAAAATTATTTATTTCAGTTTTCTAGTTTCCTTTTTTTTTTTTTCCTTTTCCCCCCGGAAAAACAGGAACCTTCATCCCCTAATTGTAAACCTACAACTCCTAAAAATTAAAACTAAAGACTAAATTTAAAAAAAACTTGTTAATAGTTATAATTTTGTCTATCTTTTATGTAATTTAAGTAAATTATTGTGGAATATTCTTTCCCTTCCTGAAATTATTACCTTAGCATTTACTGGACTAGTAATTTCTGTTACTGGGAAAGGTCCCACCCAAATAGGTGAAAACTTATTTCTTCTACTTGTATTCTTCAACCATACCCTATCTCCTACTTTGAACATTCTATTTTTAGAATTCTTATCATAGTTTATCTTTGCTTTAAGTTTTGCCAACTCCTGATTTTTTCGAACCACGTCGTATGAGCGTTGAATTTGATATTTCAAGATTTTTGAAAAATCGTCGTGGTTGTATAATGGTGTTGGTTTTCTTTTTAATGTTATAGGAATCTCGAAATCGAACCCTAATAGTGTTTTTGATGGTGTCTGCTTTGTTGCAGAATGCACAGTGTTATTATGAACATGCATCGCATGATGCAACCACTCATCCCAGTTGGAGCCATCCAATTTAACGAAACTTCTTAAAAATTCCGCTATAGGACGATGACTTCTTTCCAAAGAGCCATTTGCCTGTGGATGATATGGAGTAGTTTGTATCTTTTTAACACCAAGAATTTTGCAGATT